TTGCTTATTGTTGGTATCACTGGGAAGCGTTGATCTCCAAGCCAATTGGCTGTGAGGATTAGCAGTGTCTCAGCTAGGAGGGCTTCTGTACTCTGCTTAGATAGGGCGTGGTCTCGGGGTGGCACAGACCATCTTTGGTTCCGTCAGTCTCGCCTTAGTAAAGACCTGTTCGTGGAGAGTTTCGGAAGATTGGTTGCAGGCGCACGCACCTCTTTAGTAAAGGCACAGACAAGCTTTGGATCCTCCTTAGAGAAAGCCAGCCTCCGGGAGAGCTTCTGTGCTCAACCAGAGATGGGGCGGAGTCTCGGGTTGGTGCAGACAAACTTTGTTTTCCCTTGGCTCCTCCTCAAGTCCCGCAGTAATGGCCTCTGGCTTCACACACCTCCAAGAGATCTCTGCCCACTGCCTGACAGTCTAGCCTCTCCCTATCTGATTCTGTTTTCCTCTCGAACAAGAAAGCCAGTTGCACGTTAGCTGTTCGCCCTCTCCGCCCACCAGGAGTAAGCCAGTAGCAAACTCAGCCTGGCCAGCCCTCTCTTCGCGTCTAGAGTAAGCCAGCAGCAATCTCGGTCCAGCCCTTCCTCTCCGTGCTGGGAGTAAGCCAGTACCTTTTCTCGCACACAGTTCTCCATACCTTCACAGTTCCTGAGGTTCAGCGTGCCTTCTCTCTCCTTCTCAGATGGCAGAGCCTCCTCTCAGCTAGCCATCCAGCGCTTCAGGGCAATGCCTCCCCTGTTTTTCAGTTCTAAATTCAAATTTGTTGTGGTAGGCTGCATTCGGGTGTCTACCCTATGCCGCCATCTTGATTTCTCCCAATTCCTATACCTTTTAAAGAAAATGTGACTTTTTAAAAATATGGATAAGATCGAAGTATTTGTAATAAATTCTTTTATTATGTGCTTCAGTATTGTGATATTTGACACAGTAGGTCATTATCAGTGATCTCCAGATTAAAGGTTATTTTCTCATTTTTTTCTACCCAATATTAATTTGCTGTATATACAATCTCAACCTATGTAATAATATGAGTTCACAGTTTTATTTAGGTTTTTTATTGTGTGTTTCTACCCATGTTTTCTAAAATTATTTCTAACTCAGAGAATTTTCAGTTTGATGAATGTGTAAACTCAAAAAAAATATGAAAAAAAAGACAAAATGGCAAAGAGGAGGAGGAAATGTAATGTAGGGATGGAAACACCTAGGTTTTAGGTCTACTTATGTATTAAATAGTTGATCTTGCATATAACTTTACAGATTTTATAAAATATATATATTTCTGTAAAATAATGATTCCACTCTGTCTATCATATAGGATTTTTTTAAAGATTAAATATGATGACGTATGGAAAAGCTGTAAAAGCTAACTGGAGGCCCAGTGCATGAAACCATGCACAGGTGGGGTTCCTTGGCCTGGCCAGCAATCAGGGCCGATTGGGGCTGTCTTCCATCCCATCAGGGCCTGGGACCAATTGGGGTGGGCTGCCTGGAGGGAGGGGCCTTGGGAAGTTGGTCCACTAGCTGGGGGGAGGGGTCTTGGGAGGTTGACTAACTGTGGGAAGGGAGCTGTAGGAGCACACTTACCACAAGGGAGCAGCTCTTGCTTTGAGCTTATGCCCCCTGGTGGTCAGTACACATCATAGCAACCAGTCAACCAGTCATTTGGTCTTTCAGTCATTCTGTCATGCAGCCTTCAGTTGCTTAGGCTTTTAGATAGATAGATGATAGATAGATAGATAGATAGATAGATAGATAGATAGATAGATAGATAGATACTAGTTTTATAAGTGTACACTAAAATATTTACCTGATATTTTTACTCCTACTTTTGAGTATTCTATGTTTCTTAATGTACCATGTAATTATTAAGTACAGGAACCATTATGCCTTGAAACTCTAGAAGCAGTAGCACATGATGGGACATCCTATTGCACTCTCTTGGTCGGATGTGTAAAATCCATATACAATTTCAGCTTTTGTTGTTAATCATCCAGAATAAGGTTTTCAAACTCAAGGACTAAAGCCCTTCGAATGTTTAGATTGGCAAAAAATGTCTACTGTTTGTTTTAATTTAATTTAAAGGACAGTGCATGTTGTAGCCATTACAAGGTTCCATCCATAAACACTGAACAGTCCTACTTGTGTGCAATAATAGTTCTTTACAATTCAGTAACACCTTGATACTGTATTCACATTCAATAAACATTTTAAATTGAGAAGTTAACACACTAACACTCATATGCGTTTAGAGTTCATATATTTAGATCCAATATGTTGATATATCACACGTATATAATACAAACTAATTATTACAGAAAGTCAGAAAACTCGATTTTACTTTATTTTAGTCCCTTTCTTGTGAGTTTTAACTAATTCTGATAATTCTTTTTCTACCTTTATACAATTTTTAAAATCCTAGCTTAAGAATAACATTAAAAATAATCTATTCTAGGACTCTATGTAAATATTTCTCTCAATAATATTATCTAATAAAAATCCTCCAAACTCTGCTTGAAAGTCTCAGAAAAAGGAGTTACTGTCTCTTAATTGCAGCCTATTCTAGTGTGGAGATTCCTAACTGCTTGTTTCTTTTTCATATATTTAACAAATTCATCCTCTACAATTGAGAGCTGTTCTTGCCTTTATTTTTCCATCTAATGCAACACATAGTATTGGCATTACTCCACTAGATGTCATATGTGTAGCTCTTCTTCCATTCATTTAATATATCCTTTGACTTCATTTATGAAAGGATATGGCATTAAATATCACACCATATTGCATATTAATATATATATTTAAATATCCTAGTCAATTGATCAGCATACACTTGTTATCACAAGCCTCATCCTTCTTTATGAATTCATCAAATTTGGTTGTAGTACATAGAGTTCACTGAATTAACAAATTCATCTAGTAATATTCAAGGCACATTTTGGCAAATCTTGCATTATAGTTAACTTGAATGTATGTCTAAAATCATGTGTTTCTATAATAATAACTGCATGTTTCATAGGAGAAAAATAGGAAAAAAATGTTAGCAGTATAATTCAGCTAAATATAGATTATTATATTTATAAGTTAATGTTTATTAATTCTTTTACTTTTAATAAACTGATTTCAAATGGATATCAGTACATAAAAATTTTATCCTGTGGCTCAAACCAACAGTATTTGGCAACACTGAGCTGTGATGAATACCTCACATCCATACCCCTAAACTTTAAATATTTATAGGAGCCAGGCAAAAATATAACTGAGTGAAATTGACAAAGTCTAAAACAAAAAGTCTAAAACTGTGGCACACTTGATTGAACATGAACCATCTAAACAGTGCAACTGCAACTCATTTCTTACCAACAATCCAAAAGAAGAAATGTGGGCCAATTGTGGCCATATTTCAAATGTATTTGTTTTTAAATGTTGACTAGAAATGACTTTTTTTTTTTTTTAATTTGATCACTTCTCAGTCTTTTGGCTAAGTTCAAGTATAAAAAATTTATGAGCATCCACATATACATTGGCTTAATTCTTTCCTTGGTCAACAAGTTGAGCCAATGCAAAAGAGTTTCTATGACATATCTGAGGTAAGTGTCATAGTAAGAGCTTTTTAACTAATTATGTCCCAAAAGGTTTGTGAAATTTAAAGAACAGAAATAATTAAAATCAAAATATCTTAGACCAACAGGTTGCTGCAATAGAATACAATAGACTGGTAGTTTATAAACAATAAATATGTTTCACATTGTTCTAGAGTCGGGAAAGTCTAATATAAAGACACCAAATGATTCAGTGTCTTTGAGAGTATGTTTCCTGATTCATAAACATCCACTTGTACTCACATGGTGAAAAGACAGGGCAGTTCCTTTGATTAGCTTTTTAGATCAGATAAAGACTCAAAGCCTCCAGAACCCACCTCAGCCTACAGTTCCATTGACACTCAGACTTGATTAGCCTCGGGCTATTGATGACAGGGTTGGATGAGAAGTCTTCTAATAGGAAGGGGAAATTGTCTTCCCACCAGGCAAAAATCTCCTGGATAGCAAAGGATCTCTGAAGGAAGATTTCCTTTGCAATGTGAGGGAATGATTCAGCACAGGAAATCAGGGTGACTGCCCTCCAAGCTCCAACCCAAAACCCACAACCCTGGCTTCTTCTCACAGAACTCTATTCCACTCTGCCTTCCTTCTGCTGGAGCCCAAGATGAGTGGCACATGAAATTTTATAAATTAGTCCTTTAAGAGAATTACTACTACAGCTATCTCTCACCAGTAGACAGCAACCCTGATGCTTTTCATAGCCAAGTGTTATATGGGCACTTTTCTCAGTTCTGGTGCTCTCAGCTAGGGAGCCCAGCTTGGAATTTAGACCCCAGAGTTATCAATGGGAACTCTACATAATTAAGATATCCCTTAGAGGCCCTCACGTGTGCAGAAGCTTAGGCGTTTAGACATCCTTCTAATCTTCGTCTTTGTTTGGTCGCTTGCTATCTGCCTATTCCCCATCTATTCCCCATCGTGCGGGCCGGCCTGTGGCTAGGGAAGGAGGAGGAGCAGGGCGCTGTACCACTGGGTGCAAAGGAACAAAGAACCTTCCCGGAATTCCTGCATGACCTTGAATTCGCACTGGGACTTTCTGAAGTGCTGTTCTGTCCGCTAGCCTTCCTTTTCTGCCAAGTCACCAGTCTGTGTCTGTGGATCTTGTACCTAAAGGCCAATCCAACCCAAGAGCAGGAAGAAGAGGAATATTGTCCAGAAACAAAATACAGTGCACTTCCAGGCAAGAAGGAAAAGGAAGAAACTGTCTGAACCTGTGTGGGTATATGTGGAAGTGCCGCTACTCTCCAGGACATCTGGAAGGGCAGAAGAGGTGCTGCGGTATCTGCAGTTGCTGAAGAACCTGACAACTGTAGCTAAAGATTCCATCCAGGCTTCAGATAATTCTGAGCCACAGCAAGCTTGCTATGCCTGGGTTAAAAATTTGGCCCAGACATTAGCCCCAGTATGGGTCGAACTCGGGAGGCTGGCTGTGTGGCTGCTGGTGTGGTGATCGGGGCTGGCGCCTGCTACTGTGTATACAGACTGACCTGGGGAAGAGATGACAACGAGAAAATCTGGGACTACAATGATGATGACGAAGATGGAGAATCTAGTGATATTACAGAAATTGGGGTGGAGGCTGGGAAAGGAGCTAATACTGCAGTGGGGGGCAGAGCTAGATTTCAGGGTGACTCAAAGGCCAAAGTTAAAGTGGGCAAGGAACTCAAGAGTGGTCCAGATATAAAAATGGAAGCCTACTCAGGAACCCAGAGAGGAAGTGGCCTAGAGGCCAAGGCCAAGGCCCTTTCAGCATACTGACTGAAGGAACAGGCAAGTGCAAAGGCAGACAGAGGGGCCAAGTTGGGTACCATCTCTGGGAGCAGGACTCTTGCATCGAGTTTACCCTGCCCAGGAGGCAGGGATGGAGGCTGCCACCCCACCAGGAGTGGAGCTAGGGCTAGGAGCAGGACAAGTGGAAAGTCCAAGGGAAAGGTCGAAGCCAAGAGCACCAGAACTCCAGCTACAACATGGCCTGTTCACAGGGGCAAGTTCAACTTTCGCTATAAAATTGATGATATTTTAGATGCTACAGACCTTCAAAAGGTCCTTGACATCCTGGAAAGAACAAATGTTCCTTTTATTCAAGAAGTAGCCTTGGTCACTCTCGATAACAATGCAGCATATTCATTTAATCAAAATGCCATTTGTGAATTGGGTGGTCTCCCAATTATTGCAAAACTGATAAAAACGAAAGATCCCATTATTAGAGAAAAGGCTTCAATGCTCTTAATAACTTGAGTGTGAATGCTGAAAATCAGGGCAAGATTAAGGCATATATCAGTCAAGTGTGTGATAACACCATGATTTGTTGCTTGGACTCAGCTGTGCAGATGGCTGGACTAAGACTTGTTAACCAACATGACAGTGGCTAATCATTACCAACATTTGCTTTCCTGTTCTTTTCCAGATTTTTTTGCTTTGTTATTCCTGGGAAATTACTTCACCAAGATTCAGATTATGAAACTACTTATAAACTTTACTGAAAATCCAGCCATGACAAGAGAGCTGGTCAGTTGTAAAGTACCATCAGAATTGATTTTCCTCTTTAATAAAGAATGGGACAGAGAGATTCTTCTTAATATCCTAACCCTATTTGAGAATATAAATGATAACATAAAAAATGAAGGGCTTGCATTATCCAGGAAAGAATTTAGCAGAAGTTCACTTTTTTTCTTATTTAAAGAATGTGTTAAAAAAAATTAAAGCATTAGCAAATCACAGTGATCTGGTGGTGAAAGTAATAGTTCTCAAAGTACTGACCAAACTCTAATCAGGGGTCTATCTTAAATAATATAGAGATATGTTTTTTAAGTTTGCACTTGGGAAAAATACATTTTGTAAATTCTTTGTTTTTCACTGTGATTATATGGCATAGAGATACTTTCAGCTGCTATTTTGGAATAATGAATATCACAGATCAATAGTAATGCTGGCTGTGATGGTTGGTTTTAGGCTGGACCATTTTAAGGATGCCAAATGAATAAGCTTGTAAAAACAAAGCACTTAGTGGATTCCATCTTGCTACCTAGATTGAGATATTTTTACTCTTTACCTAAACTGACAGCAAACTAATCATAAATAACCTACACTTTTGTATTGGTTTATATTTATTAATCTTTATACTCGTGTTTTATCAATAAAGTTATTTGTTTTAACCAGCAAAAAATAAATAAATAAATAAATAGATTTATCATGTTCTTAAAAAAAAAAAAAAAAAAAAGATAACCCTTAGAAACTTCAGCTGTAGTCTATGGAGCCCGGCCACCCCTTTCAGGCCTCTGCACTAACTACCAGTCTCTATGTGGTTTCCACTTTGCATCCTTGGTTATCAGAGTTCCCTCCAACTAGTCTTCAGTTGATTCTTCAGGGTGGTTTTTCTGTATTTAAGCTGTATTTTCATTTTGTTCCTGAGAGAGTGTCAGTGTAGCTTCCACTTTCTCCGCCACCATTTTGGAATAAAATTTAACATATTTAAATTTACCAAAGTCTTCATGAAAAATATGTCATTGGGAAGAACCATTAAAAGACAAGATTTTAGTTTGCCAAGACGAAGGGAATTAACATCTTTAGTAAGACATGAGATTTCAAAACACAGGATATTTTTAGAGGAGAAGATAGATCAGACATTGTTGTAGCACTTTACTTATGTAAGGAATTATTGGGCATCAGTGCATCCACTAACAAATATTTAGCAAAAGTTATATACTATGCATTAATATCTGTACTGTATAGAATACAATGGTAAAGTAAGCAGTCAGAGGGTGTGTGTGTGAAAGAGATAACAGATTCACCTTACCTAAGACACAAATAACATGTCTGGAAGTTACCATAAAATCCATGGAATATATATTTTAAACTCAGTAAGGACACATATGTAATGCCATAATCAATAAAGAGGAAAAAAATATTTAAAGCAACAACAACAAATCATTGGAGTTGGTAAAACCAGAGCAGTGATAACATATTTGATAATAGTAATATGGAAAATGAGTAATATGGAAAATAAAAAATTGAAACAGGATAACCAATAAATAAATATTAATAGCATGAATAACTTCAAAACCATTTGAGGAAAAAGATAGGAGTAGTAAAGAAGCATGATGAAAAAAGATCAGAAAATGAATGGATAAAAAAGAAACAAAAAGAACATAAAATAAAACATTATATTGCAGTTATATGTTCAAGTAGTAATAACCACTACTACAGTTATTGTTTCCCAGGAGATACTCCAATATACTAATTAATTCAGTATGTAGTTACCAGATTTTGGAGGGGGGGGGGTTACATATTATCAGATTTTTTTTTTTAATATTATGAAACAGGCACAGAAAGGCTAGGAGATTCTCTCAAAGTGAATATTAATTTTCAAAATGATATTTAAATGCAGTCTGGAGTGAGAGTCTGTTTTGTAATCACTATTGCTTCTCTTTAAAAAGAGCAGCTTGTGATGAAATTTAAGTAGTGCATAGGCCAAGTGTTGACTTTGTTGAAATTGTCAAGAATTTTCATCTTAATCTGAGATTAAAAGGTTGCAAGTAGTAAATACACCAAGAAGAAAGAAGTTGAAGACCATGGAGGGAAGGTCCCAAATGGTCAGTAGAGAATTACAAAGCTGAGAGAGAAGAGGATGAGATTAATTCTACTAAATGAAAATGTTAACTGTTACACAGTCAAAATTAACAGGCCACAGGAAAAAGATATATAGATGACAGTTGATAGATGATAGATGATAGATGATAGAAGATGATAGCTACCTAAGCTAAATGATAGAAGAGAGAGAGAGAGAGAGAGAGAGAGAGAGAGAGAGAGAGAGAGAGAGAGAGAGAGAGAGAGAGAGAGATTTTAAGATCTGGAGTTTGTATAATTTGAGGAATGGAAATGTTATTAACAGAAAATAAAAACCCTGTCCGCATGTGCTAAATGGAGATATGTGAATACCTGAATCTGTGTTAAATTTGGAATATTAGTTGTAAATTCAGACATATTCTTTAGTAAATTTAATGGAACTTTAGTATCTGTAAAGGGTCACAAATAATCATTTGTCACTATATTGAAATGATATTTATTAAATGAAGGATTAAGAAAATAAAGGAATCTAAATGCAAAGAGCCTCTGGATATTAAAAATTTAGGGTGAAGAGAAAGAATAATGATAATAGGAAGATGAAGTTTTAGGAAGTGTAGTTGGCAATGTTAAATATTTTAGAAGTTAAGAAAGATCTGAATATTCATTAGGCCAGGTAAATAGGGTGATTGATCATTTTATAACAACGATTAGAGAAGTTAGAATGCAAAAGTTTTAAGAGTTAAGACAATGAGGAAAACTTGTATTTTACAGGACATTTAGAGAGTAAATGAAAAAGTTGAGATAAAGAAAGTTTCATTGAAGAGCATAATCATGTAGGAAGAACTAGATTTAAGACCATCCATAAAATTAAACTATGCAAGAAATAAACTGTCTGGGGGGGACTTTATAAGGGGAAAATATAAAGTTTTAGTGAAATAATAAGCTATATAAGAGCGAAGATAAAGATACATGTCATAACCACATTTCATTAACTTATAGGTAAAACTGTTTGAGAAAAAAGGAGATAAGATACTTTAAAAAATAAAGAAGTTTTCCTAAGTCAACAGGAATACAGATAAGAACCTTATATTTTAGTAATGTTCATAAGGCCATCTCACTAACTGGATGAGAGGTTTGTCTAACTGAGCAGAGGGTTAGAGGAGAGGAATCTGTGTCTTTATATATTTTGTTTAGGCACTTTGATATCGAGCCTCCAAAATTATCTCCAGTGGTCAACACATATTATTTACACCCTCCCACACTGTATCATAGATTTTCCACCTAGTTAATAGCATATGCCAGAAGTGGTAGTATGTCACTATGTATTAGCTTATGAATGACTATTTTCAATCTTTCATACTTACACACACACACACACACACACACACACACACACACATTCTCTGTCTTAGATCACTCACTCTGGGAGAAGTTGGCTGTCATGTTGTGAGCAGCTGTACAGGGTGAGGTAAGAGGCCGTCGCCTTTGATCAGCAGCTAGTGGGGAATGGAGGCCTGCCCACAGCCGTGTAAGGGAACTTCAACAGGTCATCCCACACCAGTCAAGCTTCCAGCAACTGCAGCCCCAGCCAACATCTTGACCACAAGTTCATGAGAGACCCTGACAGAACCAGTCAACTACACCACTTCCAGATTCCTAACTCTCAAAAATCATATAAGATAATAAATGTTTGTTTTCTAAGTTTTATTTTATTTTTCAGTTAAAATGATAAATTTATTTAAACAACTTGAAAAAGATCCCGAGTCACATTTTAACATAGCAGATGGAGACAGTGCAAATAAATGTATTAAAAAAAAATGTTCACCATAAAAAAGTCCTAGGTAGATGGAATTAAGATGAAAGCGAGTTAATATTATATGCATTTCTGGGGTTACTATTTGAAAAGTTTAACCATCGTATGTCCTTGCACAGTAACAGAAAAAATGGAATTTTTATATACTGTGGGTTAGTGGGGAGGCAAAGAGAATGACCATTTTTGGATCACAGTTCCACATATCTTAAATGAAAAACATTCATCTACACAATGTTTGATAAGTAAAACAGTTGTCTGTATAGAGAACTGAATACAAATATTCCCAGAAAATCCTATCTAATAACAAGGAAATGTGCAAATTAATCATCACACTGTCACAAAGATGGCGGCACCAATAGCCACAACATGGCAGTGCAGA